CCCCAAAACCCCAAAACCCCAAAACCCCAAAACCCCTTTTAGAGTTAAGAGAATAGCAGTTTTATTATTAATAAAATGGCGTTTAGGAATTTTGATGATGAAGGCTCAGATGATGGAGCAGAGACTTTTCCATTGACTTTGCAGGATAGGGAGGATACTGAGTTTTATCAGAAGATTACGGATATGCTTTTGGGAGCTGGGTATTTTAGAGCAAGGCTTACTAATATTGAGCCTTTTGATAAGATCTTGGGAGGATTGACCTGGTGTATTATTGGGCTCATGTATTCAGCGGAAATGGATTTTAGAGATGATCTCTCACTTGGAGAGAAACTTAAGCTAGCGGAAACAGTCACGGATGCTTTGGTTGAGATGAGATGTCCTCACCAGCTTTTCCCACATGAGATCCAAAATTGTACTTTTGAAAAGATTCTTCCTGTAATGCAGTGGTTGATCAATCTTTTGCTTAAAACTAGAGATAAAAGAGGATCAATTACCAAGAAACAAGCTATTCAGAGCTTTAACAGAAGATTTGACAAGAACATCGGTAAAGATAGACCCAAAATCGACAAACTCTACGATCTCTCTGAGAGAATTAAGCCAAAGAGAGCTTTTAAATCAACTAGGATAGATGGAACAAAACTTGAGGACCCTAAAAGAGTTCATGCTTGTCTGAGAGAGTTTAATGATCCTTCCGCTTCCCGTCTGTACAAAAGAATCATGGAAGATATTTCCAGACAGGTCAGGACCAAGGAGAGAGAAAGAATGCAGAAAGAGACTGAGGAAGGGCTTGGTAATGTTGAAGAAGTCAAAAAGGGAGATAAACAGATGAACAGCATTACCAAGACTATTGATGAGATTAAAAATATGAAGAAAGACGATACTTATAAAGATATTAATGAAGACTTCATGGTTACTGAGTCTGGAGAGCAAGTTAAAACAGAGCTTGATGAAGAGATTTCTAAGTTAAAACAAAGAACTTTTAAAGTAAAAGCTGGAGATGTCAATCAGATTTTGACACAAAATATCGACCAGTTATCCTCAGAAGTTCAAAATTTCCAGAAAATGAGTGAAGAAGCACTGAAGCAGGACGAGGAATTCTTTATTCAGAGTAGAAAAGAAGAACTTGAGAGAGAGTTAAAACAATTTCAGAAGAGAAAAGAAATTAAAGAGAAACAACTAGATAACGAAAGGCAGATCCTCGAACAGAAAAGAGTTCAATTTAAAGAGATAAAGGCTAAATATGAAGAGAATCTTGATCTTGGCCAAAACCTGGATAGGGATATCGAGTCTCTATCAACTAAGATATCCCAGTGCCCAGTCACAGAGGAAGACTTAAAGAAAGTTCATAAGAAGGAACAGCTCAAAAATGATATTAAGGACTTCAAAAAGAAGTGCAGAGAAGAAAGAGACAGACTCGAAACTGAGTTGCAAAAGATTAAGGAAAAGAACGAGAGAATCAGACAAGAACAGTATGCTCAAGCTTTGAAAGCTATTGAGGATAAATATAATGCTCAGTATGAGAAGTTAATGGAAAGAAAGATGAAGATTGCTGAACAGAACAGACACATTACGGCTTTGCAGAGGAAAATTGAGAACTGACCTTCAAAGATTGAGCTTTCTCAGTATCATAAAAGGTTTACTGAGTTGTATGAATCCATTAATGATAAATTTGAAGAAAACAGAAAGTACATCAGTCTGTATAATACTAGACAAGAGGTATGCCTTATCTTGCTTATTCAAATAGGTTAAGAATTTGCTCAGTCGTCAACAGAATTATATGGATGAAATCAAGAAGGAATTCGTTAGTACTAAAGGCAAGAAAGAGAGAACAAACCTTCTTGAAAATCTAGAGAATATTGTTGTTCAGCTAAATGATAGAATTACTCAGTCCTTCCAGATTCTTACTGAATTGAGAGCTGAGAAAGAGAAAACTGTAGAAGACTTTAATGACATTCTGCAAAAGGAGAAAGATCATTTCAACAGAATTAAGATATTTGAAGCTGAATGCAGCAAGAATGAGCTACTTATGAACCAGTACCAAGAGATTAAGAAAGATAAGAAGAAAAAAGAAGCTCCTCAGTATGCCTAGACTTCATTTATTTTATCAACAATTGCATAAAATATCGGGGTTTTGGGGTTTTGGGGTTTTGGGGTTTTGGGGTTTTGGGGTTTTGGGG